CTTTCCTCTCATCTGCTATAAGAAGAGAAAAGGTGATCTAGCATGTTACCTCCCCAATAAGGACCAACATCCATGAGGCTGGCTGCCCATACATGAGTATCTGTGAGAATTTTACCAAATGACTCATACTACTTTTTCAGTTAAGAAGGCCAAGTATTCGTTGCTGCGTTAACAGGTTAAGTATCACCAGCAGGTAAAGAGAGGTGAAACTTCTGTTCTGCTCAGCACTGGTGAGGCCACAACTGGAGTACTGGGTCTAGTTCTGAGCTCTTCAGTACCAGAGACATGGATATGCTGGAAAGCATCCAGAAAAGGGCCACAAAGGCGGTGAAGGAACCAAAGCAAAACTCCTGTGTGGAGAGGCTGAGAGAGCTAGGGCTGTTCAGCATGGAGAAGAGAAAGTTAAGGGTGACATCTCATCAGTCCTCTAGGAAGCATCTACCTTCGATGCTAACCCTGTGGTTGGCCTTCAAAGGGACTAGCTCTGCAGGGAAGCAGCTAGCCCAGAAGGGCTCAGCAGTAGTAATCAGTGCTTCTGGCCTCTCCTGGAAGAGGGGAAGGTGTTGTTCTCAGCCTTATGAAGGATTTGTGCCCGTGGTACAGATTACTGCTGCTGCTGCTTTGATACTGTAAAGCCTCAAATCTTGCTTCAGTAAGAGTTGTGTCACCCATATCCAAAGCTGTGCACACTCTGACAAAATCCACTTCCCTAAAGTGCTTTCTGGTCATGGTTTACATTCTCCTTAGAATGACTCACAGATGTATTTCTTTTTTTTTTTCTTAAATCCCATTAGTTACATGGTGGGCTAGCAGACAGTGGTTTGAACTGGGCCTGTTTAATTTTTTACTTCACAAACAAACTGGCAATAATGTGAGGAGAAGGAGGGGGGAAAGCTTACAGTCCAAGCACTCAAAGGATGATCATGTCTACTTTCTCAGTGTATTAGGTTTACATGTCCAAGTTTGGGCAGCAGGGGAGCTGCAGAGGTGGCTGACAGAGTGAAAAGATGCCAGAGGTTGCCCAGTGTTAGAAACAGATTCACTGCTGGTCAAAGCTGAGCTGATCAGTAAAGCTGAATGTGCCCCCATGAAAACATATTTAAGAAAGGGTAAAATATGCTGTGTAGCAGCTGTGAGAAAGCCAAGTGAGGTAGGAAAAAAAAAAAAAAAGGAGAAACAACCCTGCAGGCATAAAGATAAGTGAAGAAGGAGGGGTACTTGAGCACAGATTCTTCTGCAACCCCTGAGGAAGACCATGGTGAAGCAGACTGTGCTCCTACAGCCCATGGAGGACCCCACTCTGCAGCCAGTGGGTGTACTGAAAGGAAGCTGCTGTCCCTGAAGAACCAATGTAGGAGCAGCCCTTACCACATGTGGAGGATCCATACTGGAGCAGTCTCTTCCTGAGGTCTGCACCCTGTGGTATGGGCCTATTGCTGAAGCAATTCTGGAAGAATTGCAGTCTGTGGGAAGGTACCATGATAGAACAGTTCATGAAGGGCTGTATCCTGTGGGAGGGACCCCAAGCTGGAGTAGGGCAAAGGACGATGAGCAAGGAGTAGTAGAGAAGAATAGTTAAGACCACAAGCTCCATTCCCTGTCTTCTATACACTACTTATTTGTGGGGGTTGGAGGCAGAAGAGTCAAGAATGAAGGAGCGAGACTGAATGCAGGAAGAAGGAGATTTAAAAAAAAAAATACATTTTTTTAGTTCTTTGTTTGTCACCAACCTACTGTTTTTAATTGGCAATAGATTAATCTTTCCCAAGTTAAGTCCGTTTTGCCTATGATGATCATTGGTGACTTCTCTGTCCTCATCTCAACACACAAGTTTTTCCATCTTATTTTTTTCCCCCTGTCCTGTTGAGGAAGGGGAGTGAGAGAGCAGCTGTGTGGTGTCTGTCAGCCAGCCAAGGTCAGCCCACCACACTCAGATGCAGCACGGCCACACACAAAGGTAATAAAAATCTCTAGTTTTGGTGAGAGATAGCAGCTAGCACCATGTTGAGACACAAACTTCCCTGAATTGATCTCCTGAACTGACAGTAATTTCTTCCTCCCGTGGTTGATCTTCTCCAAGAAAACCTCCCCTTCCTTTGTTATGCCAGATGACGACTCAACTTTACTGCATCATGTTCTGAAGGAATGACACTCTGTCAGCAGAAACAGATCTGTTTGCTTTACTGTAGTTTGAGTTTAAAGTTCTCTCACTCAAAAGGAAACAGAAGCAGTAGCTGTTACTTATAAAGTGATTGGAAATCCTTTTTTCATCACTGGAAAGGATTGATGCGTTGGCAGAACACATTCTTTCTTCTTAGGGTTAGTTACATGTTTTTTGGAGGAAAATCAATGAGTCCTCCAGTATGCTTCTGCAATATTATTTGATGCTAAGGCCAATGAAAAGGCAATTAGTGCAGGTTTAAAGTACACTGAAGTTGGAAACTTCTGCTGTCTGAATGATGTGCAAGCATTATTTATTGGTTTTACTTAAATATTGACTACAAGAAAGTAAGCAGCATGTACCTATAGGAAGCATTTCTGATTTGATTTATTTATTTTTGGTTAATGAATCATGCATAGCAAATAGCTGTTCTTTCTTTTGCAGGGTTAGATGGACATCTTAGTAGTGTGCTTTCCTCATCAACTTTTGACAGATGTTTCAGAATAAATATGGGTGTATTATTCTAAGCCATCTCCAGGAAGATATACACACTGATAGACCTATGGCTCATGGTTCATCAAACAGATCTGAAAACAAAACAGAGTGTATCATGAAAATATGCTGTAGTTGCTGATGTCAGTTTGCAAGAAGTCCTTCACTTGTTTAGAAGAAAGGTGACATAAACATCTCCTTTTGCCTTCTAAACTACTGAAGGAAAACTTATTGAGTTACTAGAACAGGGTTGCCTTTCTAACTTTGCTATTTTTCCTTAATATGGTTAAACAAGTGCTAAACACAGACCTTTTTTATTCCATACAATCATAGAATTGCTCAGGTTGGAAAAGATCTTAAAGATCATTGAGTCCAACCAGAACCTAACCACACTACCCTAACAACCTTCCGCTAAATCAGGTCTCTGAGCACCACATCCAAATGGTTTTTAAACACATCCAGGGATGGTGACTCAACCACCTCCCTGGGGAGCCTATTCCAGTGTTACCCTTTCTGTAAAGAAGTTTTTCCTGATAGCCAACCTAAACCTCCCCTGGTGAAACTTGAGGCCATTTCCCCTGTCATCTGTCACCAGTGAGAAGAGACCAACCCCACTCCCATTGTAAGCACCTTTCAGGTACTGGAAGAGAGCAATAAGGTCTCCCCTCACCCTCCTTTTCCCCAGACTAAACAGCCCCAGATCCCTCATAGAGCATGTGCCTCCTCATAGGGCATATTCTCCAAGCCCTTCACAAGCCTTGTTGCCCTTCTTTGAACCCACTCCAGCACCTCAATGTCCTTTCTGTTATGAGGTGCCCAAAACTGAACACAGTACTCAAGGTGAGGCCTCACCAATGCCGAGTACAAGGGCAGGATTTCTTCCCTAGTCCTGCTCATCACATCAGGATGCCATTGGCCTTTTTGGCCACCTGGGCACACTGCTGGCTCATATTCAGCTGACTATACATCAGTACATCAAGGTCCCTTTCCATCAGGCAGCTTTCCAGCCACTCCACCCCAAGCCTGCAGGGTTGCCTGGGGTTGTTGTGACCAAAATGCAGGACCCGACGCTTGGCCTTATTGAAAATCATACAGTTTACCTTGGCCCATCAATCCAGTCTATGCAGATCCCTCTGTAATGCCTTTCTACCCTCTGGCAAATTAATACTCCCTCCCAGCTTGGTGTCATCTGCAGACTTACTGAGGGTGCACTTAATCTCTTTGTCAAGATCAGTGATGAAGGTGTTGAATAGGATGTCATGATATACTTCATTTAATCCATGATTTTCCATAGTCAGCTGTCAATGGTTTTTATAGATTCTCATTGCTGGATCTGCATCATGTTCTCCTGTGCAGAGAATTCATAGCAGAGGTGGAATCACAACTCCACTGCAGGTTATTCATAAGCATGGGAAGCCACATCAGAGGGGAAACATAAGGAGTTACCTGTTACATAGATGCAATATTGGTGAAGTGATGAATGTGTGAAGTGATTTGGAAAAATGAACGTACATGTTGCTTACTATTATTTCAACAGCTTCCATGTGATTTATTATCTCTGTTCCCTCTCCTGTAATATCACCTAGACATCCTTTAAATAGAAAGAGTCCCTGAAGTCACACCTTTAATTGAGGAAGGATGGTAAAAGAAGTAAGGAAAAAAAAAGGTACTTAATTAGCTCTAGAGAAACCTCTTCCTTTAGATGTGTTTTTAAACTGTTCTATATAATCCTGGAGTGTTTTTCAGTTAAACTTCTCATAGCACTTCTCAGGCCTAAGGTCACTGAAGTGTAGACAGTGAGAGAAGTTTTCCTTATGAGTATGAATCGCTGCTTCTCTTGTTGTCCGAAGATTTTCAGAGGTGTGTCCTTTAGGCACAAGAAACCTGGCTTCAACTTTAGTCCGTTTTTCACACCTGTGCTGCCACTGGCTTCAGTGGATTTTTTTACTCCTACAGCAAACATTAGAGGAATGAAACATAAAAAGAGTGGGACAATGAGAGCTGCGTGCCTTTCTATTTCAGACTATGTTGACTTGTTGATTTTGAAAATGCTTCAGTGGATGTAAGGACTTTAAACATACATTTAAATCAATTATGTGTGCACAGAATTTGTTTCACAAACAAATTATTTTCCCAACATATCTTGACCTTGGGTGAAGCTCCAGATAAAGAACGTAAGTGTTTAACTTCAGTTTTAGCCTAAAAAGAAGAAACAAACAAACAAACAAAGATCTTCTGGCAGTTAAGATAATCTAAAATTTTGTTTGATGTACTGAATTTAGATATATAGTTAAAACTTGAAATGGAAAATATTTTATGTTTATCCTGAGATGGATTTTTTGTGCAGAAGAAGAACATTGGAAAAAGAGAGGACACAGTATTGGCCTAAAATGAACTCTACTGAAATGACTGTGCTCAAGGAACAATGGAGAATATGGCTCTCATTTCTGACTGCAAGGTATTTTCTAAGGTAGGTGATGTGAAAACAGGATATAGTGCTGAACACTAGAATACAAAAAATAGAAGTTTTCTTTCAAAGCAAAAAGAGATTGAGAAACCTGGATTGGGATTTGTTTCACTTAACCTTCCCTGTGTACAACATAAGTGTCTGCAGCACAGCAAGACATCCAGAAGCTCGGTATTTGGGCGCTTTTAGGGCATGATTCATCACACTGCACTTCAGATGCCTACAACAGGCCAAGAGAATTGTGTCATGTAAATGTGTATTCCTTTCTGTGAATTTAACCTTGAGCCAACATGCATATGCCTGGAGACCAGCTGGATGGCAATACACACTTGGTGAGATGGATCTACCCCAGAAGCAACAATAATGATAATTTTGAAAGAAACACTGCAGAAAATGCCAGCAACTTATTTACATAATCAGAAATAATTACAGAGCATTATAGAAAAGTTAAACAATCATTTTCATTTCAGTTCCCCAAGTACAGGAGATGTTTTTATCCTTTGTTCAGAAAAGTACAAAAGGGACAATCTAAGTCATATTTTTTTCCAATTACCTTTTTTTTGGGGGGGGGGGGGATTTTCTTTCTTCCTTTTTTTTTTTCCTCCTTAGTAATATTTAATGATTCTCTTTACTCCTTCTGCAAATATGATTTTTTTTTCATTTTTAAATATGTGTGTGCTTGTTCCTGTTTGGCTGGACTTTTTCCCCCCAGAGTAACATATAAGCCATTCCACTGCTTGGAAACAAATCAATTTGCTCCTAGAAGCAGCATGCTTGGATTTCAGCTGAGAAAGTGCTGTGGGGTGAATGGAACAAGCACGCTTATGTCTTGTAGAGTCTATGCAGTTTGTACTGCTCTGGAGTCATGCTGCTTCTGCTAGCCAGCAGCTACTTGCATCTTGCCTTCCTGGCTACTATGTGAACCCTTGTGTTCAGTGAACAGCATAGCGGGCTAGCATCACTATGTTCAGAAGAATATGAGTAATCCCTGGTGTCTGAGAATAGAATTAAGTTGAGCAACCCTATGAAAAGTCAGTAATTCCTCTTTATTTCAGCCTCTGCATTCTCTGAGTCACACTTCTGATGAAGCTGGTGCTCTAAGGTCAGTAGAAAAAGCGATCTCAACTTCAGCACAGTTTAAGGTTGCCTTTTTCTCACAAAATACTTGACCATTTTAAAAGTCCTTTTAACAGATGCAACTAACTCAACACAAGGGGAACTTGCATAGACAGACCGACCTGCCTTGCAGCTGCTTTAGCCCATACATTTGTTAAGCTCTACTCCAAAAATTTTACTTCTTCATAAAAAATGTCCTTAACTGGCAATAGGAAAAAATGTGAAGAAACTGCACATAGGATTTAAAAAAAAAAAAAAAACAAAAAAAAAACTTGAATGGAACTTGGCAAATATTATAGTGTCTGCCTTGCTTGAGCATTTGTGTTGGCTGCTGTAGTTGTAACTGTGGTGATTGGATGCACTGGAATTTTCCTTGGATTTCACTTCAGGGGGGGGTGTTCCCCAAGTGTAGCCATTTGCATGGCAGGACAAAAGCCAAGCTCTAGAAAGCAAATGTCAGTCTTTTGTCAGACCTGACCACTGCTACCTGTTGCAGATCTTACTGATGCTTTCTCTGAAGTGACACTGTCCTGAGCAGTGCTGCACCTCTGGGTTCCACCCAGTGCAGCTGTTGATCACACTGAACAGAGATGTAAGTATCCATCAAGTCTGAAAATTGTGAACTCCAAAGCAAAGATTAAAAAATTACTTCTGTGCTTAACTCCCCAAATCTAACAAATGACCTTGCAATTAGTATACAGTGGTTTTCCAACTATCAACCACTGGTTTTCCTTGTAGGTATTACTTTAATCTTCAGAGAAATCCTACACTGCTTCCTCTAATTGCTTCTTCTTATGAATTTTGTTAAGTCAACTGTATGCTTGTCCTTTCACTTACCTTGTTTGACTTAATAATGATCATGTGTTCTGCCACCTTTAAATCAAGGAAGTTCTATAACAGAAACAGTATTGTGAAGATGTTTAAATGTATGGCATTGTTCTTGTTTTTAAGAGACATGAGGATATACACCTCATCTTGCCAGTGAACTGTTGCCATAGCACACCTTAGTGTAGACCATGTATGTGCCACGCTGGCAAACATGTTTCTTGCAAGGAATCCTACTAGAGGGGAGCTTCCTAAAGCTTGTCAAGATGCTTTTCTACTACTGAGGATAATAGAAATAAATAGGGAATAGGGAATAATAGGTATAATAATAAATAATGATAAAGGTAGCACATGCATTTCAGAGATGAGAGTAGCTCCATGTTTAGACCTGGAAAAACTGTTCCATTCTTCAGGTTAAACTCTCTATGGAGAAGGGAAGATTCTGCTCTCATCACAGGACACAATCACTATTAAGTTTTGAGAGGAAGGAAGGAAGGTGTAATTCCTTAATAAAGGATGAAACTAAATTGTGGTCTTTCAGTACAGGTGGAGACAACTGTATCTTTCAGATGTGACCATTCAGATAACAGATGCTGCATCCTTAGAAATACTGTCTCTCATCAAAATCTGGTTTGTATTAGCTGGGAGGCATGTGGTCCAAGAAGCCAAAAACTGTTTTGTCTAGAACAAAGGCAGATGAAATCATCAGGAGAAAGAATGCTGGGTAGCAGAGTGACATCTAGTACAATGTATTTTAAACTGGAAAATGCTAATCATTATATTCCTGGGGAAGGACACTGGAGATCAAATTGGAAACAAGAGTAAGACACTGCAAGAATTTCAGCTTGCCTTCTAATTTAGTACTTCAGTTTGCTCTGACGTTATAGAGGCATTAAGGCATTACCTGACAAAGGGAAAGCTAAAAAAAAAAAAACAAAACCCACAGGTGAGATTCCTGCCTAGAACCAATTACTCTATGATTTAAATTAATCTGTTAGTGCTTAGCAATAAACAACCACTTGTTCTGACTAGGCTAAGACACACTGCTACATCTGTTACTTCCTGAGTGGTTGAAATGGCTCTGCTGAAAGATTCCCCATGAGGAGGCAGTGTCCCAAATCACAGTATTTTCTAAGATTGATAGCATTCACAGGACAGCATAGAAAGTGCAAGACACAGAACAAAGCATCTCGGAAATGCAGCAGATTGTTCAGCTCAGAGACCGTGTCAGGCACGTGGGTTTTCATCCTGAGAGGAAAAAAAAAAAAAGGGACCCAAGACATTTTTATCCACAAAGGATTGTCTTAAAATTTCCCATGGTGATGGTTTCCTGGAGGCGAGTGGCACTTTATTCATGTTAGAGTGAATTGCTGACCGAGAAATCTGTAGGAAGAAGAGCTTCATCTGACTTCAACTGAAATCAGCTGGGGCAGGAGGCTTCTCCTCCTGTGTCTTTTTATGTAAACAATGAGTATCTTAAATATTATTATCATACAGTAAAAGAATAACACTGCCAAGTGAGTAAACCCCATGGGGGTAAGCAATGTGATGGGACTGGATTTGTAACAGCACAAGGATACAAGACAGAGTCTGAAATTTGCTCTTTCTGTTTCAGATCTGAAGAAGAGCTTGCATGCCTAAAAGCTTGTGTGCATTCCATCAATAATATCAGTTGCCCAAGCCCAACCAGAAGATACTTCCTTTCAGTATCTAAAGGGGAGCTACAAGAAAGAAAGAGACAGATTCTTTAGCGGGGTCCATAGTGACAGAAGAAGGGGAAATGCTTTCAACCTCAAAGAGAGGAAATTTAATTTGGATATAAGGAAAAAGTCTTTTACAGTGAGGGTAGTGAGGCACTGCAACAGGTTGCCTAGTGGTGTGGTCAGTGCCCCATCCCTGGAGACTTTCAAGGTGAGGCTGGATCAGGCCCTGGGCAACCTGGTCTAGCTGAGGTTCCTCTGCTTATTGCAGGGGAGTTGGGCTAGATGGCCCTTAAAGGTCCCTTCCAACTCTAGGGATTATATGATTCTGTGATATTTCCTTCATACATCATCCTTTGTTTTTAAGAGAATGAAGTTAATCATTTTAAACAAACTAACAAAGTTGCATAGACACCTCTATTTTCTCACGGCTTTCTGGTTCACATTTCAGTGTGCTCTTTACCATTAGCATGCTTGCTATTCTTTTTCGTGAATTTCACTACGAGTTTGCTACACACTGCACTTCTGTCAGTGCTGTTATTTAGCTGTGGTTTTGCTATTTTTAGAACTTTATCAATAGCGATGTGGGTGGTTTTGTTTGTTTGTTTGTTTACTGTAAAGCTTTTCTGTTATACAGAACAATCTCCAAAACACTGTCTGGACTCCTTCTGATGTCACTAGCATCTGTTCTTAAGCTCTTAAGTCTTTCTTTCCAGAAATCTCTTGATGCTGAGCCTATTTTTGTTCAGAAGTACTGAACACAGGCTATTGTCATGGGAATGGTAGGTGATCACACCTACGGCACAATCCGAGGTCTCCCTGCTGCTCTGCAGCTGCTCAACCTTCCTCTCAGAGATATGCTTTAGAAGTGTCTGAGCCGTGCCTTGTATCTATTAGAAAACTTGGCAACCGTCTGGAAAGACAACTGCATTTGCCTGTATTCCCTTTTATGCTCTTTTCTGTAGGAAAAGCAAAGCACAGGTGTCTTAACCTCAAATAAAAAAATTTTAAAAAAGCTGCTGAGCTGCTGTATTTAATTGTCCTAATTCATCAGATGTTAGAAAGGATGCAAGGATATCACAGTTTGAAATTTGCATAGATGCTGCAAGCATGAGCATGAATGCTAAGTTTGTAATTGCCAGTGTATGTAATGAAGGTACTGCCTTTACGATGTGCTGTTAATAGTGAATGGCAACACAGCTGCTGCTTCTTTTTCCTGCTGCATGTTAAAAATGCTACATCATTCCATCAGAGGACGATATCCAGAAAAAAAAAAAGAGTGACCACTGTTAGGCCACATTGAGCAACCATCCACTTTCTCCAGCAGTGTGAAGCCTTTCTCTCCTTGTGTTTCTTGCCTGAGTGTTGAGTTCTGGGCTTCTGTCTTCATTCCTTGGTGTTGTAGCCACATTCCTGGACACAGTCCAGCTCTCCCTGTTAAAACACTGCAGTTGCTATTGTGCTGCAGTCTGTGTATTGATGGATGCATACTGAAATGCCAGGCTGTGCTTCTGGTTGACTTTGGTTGACTGACTTTAAGAACTGCCACTTTTGATGTGTTACAGATTAAAAGGACTTCTCTTTACCTAGTGATTTTGGTACAAAGCTTTCGTGTTATATTTGAGGTGTGGATTTAAAAGAGAAAAAAAAAATCCATTTCAAGATTCTTGTATATTAGGATGACTAAAAAAACCATCACTGCTTGTCAAAACTGCTAAAAAAAAAATATATATATATGGAAATACATCCACAGAAAGTAAGCAAAATGGATATTTTCTAATAAAAGCAGTTTCAGGCCAAGCCTATATCATCTGCTGTCACTAGTGTTTAGACAAATGGTTCATCCTTTAAGTAAAAGCCTTTTAATTGTCTGAATGGCAATCCCTAATAACTTCATATGGTTCTGTCATAATTACCCAGGAAGAAATATTCTCACTTCTTGTTTCTTTTTGTTTCTTCTCTGGCTTAAAATGTGTTTTATCCCACTTGCTTTCCAGCCGCCAGCTTTGGGCTGGGTCTGTTTGGGGTGATTTTCATTTCAAAGACCTCTCCCCTTCGACCCACCTTGGAATACCAGACAGAAAGCTAGAAAAAAAAAAAAAAAATCCTCTTATAGATCATGGAGTCATCGAATGGCTTGGGTTGGAAGGGGCCTTAGGGATCATGCAGTTCTACCCCCTGCCATGGGCAGGGCTGCCACCCAGCAGCTCAGGCTGACCAGAGCCCCATCCAACCTGGCCTTGAGCGCCTCCAGGGATGGGGCACCACAGCTTCTCTGAGCAGCTGGGCCAGCACCTCACCACCCTCTGAGTGAAAGATTTCCTGTTAACATCTAATCCTGATGTCCCCTCTTTTACTTTAAAGCCATCCCCACTTGATGGTGTCCGCTTCAGCCAAATGGTTTTCACTTTAGCAAAAAGGAAAGCAGCAGCAAACCAGTATTTGGGCGCAGCAGGGGAACAGGCGGAGTGCTTAAGACGGCACAAGGATGACACAGACGTGCTGGTTTCAAACACATTTTTTAGCACCCATCCTGTCCTGAGCAAGCGGACAGTCCCACTCTGGGAGCCCTGCACGAGGTGATGGCGGGAAGCCCAGCACAGGCCCGGTGGAGCCGCAGCTGGCCGTGCAGGTGGCCCATGGACACGGACACGGTGGGGTGTGCCATGTCCCAGCCCGCGCACAGACACCACAGCTCGCAGACACGGCGGGTCCCTTTAGTTCTGCTGCGTGTCAGCGCTCCGTGTCCCCCCACGTACGGCCCCGCGCTGGCTTCTGCCGCCGGCCCACCCGAGGGCTTTTCTTCTCCACGTGGAACCGAGCAATGAGTTGTTTCGCCGGGAAGACAGAAGCCATACGCTTAAACCCAGAGCCCTCTCGTTTCTGCCGTGCCAGGTGGCAGCGTGAGCGCTGGGGATGATTCAGTGCTCCCGAAAGGCAGCGGTTATAAATATTCACAGCTACCGGTTGGGACGGCACAGCGGTGCGGCAGAGACGGCCACGGAGCCGTGCCTTACATAACGCCGAGCGAGATAAAGCCTTAGGATTAACGGAGCCACGCGCGCCACAGGCGCAAGGAACGTTTCTCCCCAGACGGAGCTCGGGGGCACAACCAGCTCAGGCGACAGCGGCCAAGTTCAGGGCGAGCAGCAGCAGCAGCAGCAGCAGCAGCAGCACACCGCTGCGGCGCCGACCGCGCCCCGCCCCTCGCCCCGCGGCGGCGGCGGCCCCTCGAGGCAGCCCGGCGCGTCCCCGCCCGCCGCCGCCGCCGCCGCCGCCGGGCGGGACCATCTCTCCCCCTGGCGAGGGGGGGGCGGCGCTCCGCCCCGGCTCCCCGCCCGGCCCGCCTCCCCCCGCGCCGCGCTGAGCGCCCCTCCGCCTGCCGAGCGCCGTGGTCACGCCCAGCGCAGGCATTAGCGCCCCCCGGTGCGGGGCGCGGGCGCCTGGGCATCCTCCGGCGCGGCGGCTCCGGCTCCGGCTCCGGCTCCGGCTCCGGCTCCGGCTCCTCCCTCGTCGGCAACGCGGAGCGGCTGCGAGCCTGAGCCGGGCGCTGCGCTGCTGGGCAGCGCCATGAAGCCGGCGGTGCTGGAAGTAATGAGGATGAACCGGGTGTGCAGGATGGTCCTGGTCACTTCCGTGGGCTCCTTCATCCTCGTCATCTTCTATTTCCAAAGTATGTTGCTCCCAGGTAGGGCTCTGCCGCTCCGTTCTCCCCGCCGCAGGTGGCGGCCGCCCCGGGGTGCGCGGGGCGGGAGGAAACTTTGCTGGGGTTCGGTCCTTGCGCGCCCGGCGTCGTGCGGCGGGAGCGGCGCACCGAGAGGAGAAGCGGGGATGGTTACAGGGGAGGAAGGTCAGAGCCCGGCTCTTCGCTTCCCCGCTCGCGGCTGCTGGGGCGCAGTCGATTAAAAATCGCCTGCCCTGAAGTTTTTGGGAGGCGTGCGGCGCTGCAGGGCTCCGTGCTGCAGCCGGGAGGCAGCGCACCCACCGCTCTGCGTAGCGGTTCCCCGTCAGCTGCCTGCTCGCCCGAAGTTGGTGCCGTTGGTTTGATGGATGTGTTTCTCGCGGCGCCCATCTGTGCCGGCTCCTGCGGAAAGCGGCGCGTGTCTTTCTCCCCTCTGCGTCCCCACCGGTTCCATCGGACCCGGGGGTGGCTTTAACCGAGTGCTTCAGGTCACCGCACGCGGCTGCGAGCTGCAATACGGCTTCAGCAATTGAACTCTCGTGTTTTTTCATTCATTGGTTGCGTTCTGCAGGTAACGTAGTCCAGGTGCGTGTGCAGAAAATTTGGCCAAGAGTCGCTTTTCCCCAAGTTTCGGGTGAATTGGAACAGAAACTCAGTGTGCGGTATGTGAGAAGTGAAGTAAAATATTTCACTGCATATTTTTGAACGTGTGAGAATCACCCTCAGCGCGCTCCATAGTTAACTACTGGAGATTATGGCTTTGTGTTTGTGCTGCTGTGGAACTGTAAATAGGCTGAGATTCGGTACCATTCAGAGCATTTCACCAAAGCTGAGGTGAGAGCGTGGTGCTGTTAAAACACGGGGAGGATGAGCTGCACCCGTCTTCCATATGACGCGTATTTGGGTTGTTAGCGTGTGTGAAGCAGATCTGGAAATAAATGAGATCAAACCCCACTTATCTCTGTTGTATCTTCTTGAACATTGCCACTTCTGTGCTTTTTTTTCCCCTAAATGTAGACTGTTTCTGTAGCGGATGCTGCTGGAAATCAACCAGATGCTAATCTAGATTGAGGTACGGTCTGACCGTTCCCTTTGAATGTGTTTTGCAAAGCTCAGACAGCTCTTTTAGTCAGGTATCTACTACATGGTTGTGTGTTGGCATCTGGGTTATTGTATGTGGGGTACAAAAACCTTGCTTGCAGTTGCACCTGTTTGTGATAATAGGCTTTCCTTACAACCCTTCCTGTTCTATCACTCAACTCAGTAGGGCTGGACTCTGGGCAGAGTGCAAGGCTGGTGATGTATTAAAACTTTTCAAGATCTTGGCTGATAGCCTTTTTGTAGAGGAGGAGCTTTGGCATTTTGCCCTGAGGTTGGCACAGCAGTGTGTTCCTTAGGAAGGCTGCAGGAGGCAGCTGCCTCAGACAT